ATTGGCAGCTGCTATGTTATAAATTAATAAGTAAGAGGACTTCATATATGCATGCCAATGTCCAATTTTGGAGATAATTGGATTCAAAACATTTACGTGACAGCTTAATTGGACTTATTGGCCTTACAGCCTCATCCAATTTTGGCTCTCCTCTGATCATCTTTTCATCTGATCATTTCCAAATTAGACAGCATGTACTGGATATATATTACCCATACAAATTTCAATTAAACTAGCAGTCCTTAAATTTAGTAATTGTTCTTGGATTGATTGAGATTTTATAAATCAACTTTCTACTCATGCAGTTTCCGTCTGGAAGTAATTTACAGTAAAAACATCTCATCCCCCACCCATGCAACTCCCAAGTGACTTATAACGTAACCAAAGTAAAGCGCGTGTTCTGATTGGTCAATTTAGCGTCCCCATTTGCCCATGGGTGTACGCTGCTGACGTGAGCAAATGCAAAGACTATTTTTCCATGCGCGCTTGTTTATTCTGGCCATGTAAGATTTGTTAAATAAAAGGGAACTCTTTAGCTACAATATTGTATCAATGTTATGTTGTAAAACAAATGGTAAACACCACAGCATACACTATTGAGTTATGGATGCACTTGGGAGGTTTGCTAAGCACTCAAGAAGCTAGAGTCTCTCGGCTATTGCCTCGAGCAACTCTTACGCTTCTTTCGTGCTTAGCAACCTCCCACATGCATCCATAACTCAATAGTGTACTCTGTGGTCTTTACCATTTGTTAAAATTCACACTGTCAATACAGAGTTAATCCTGAATATGTACAATTCCACCAGAAGGGAGGATATGAAATTTTATTTACCTGTCCATGTCAGAAGTACATTTTTTACCACATATGACTCCAACTTAATTGTTTAATTAGATATAAAAACATCATTATTTTACATTTGAGGTAATCTTCAGTTGATTGACTTTCTTTCAAGGTTTACGGTCAAAAAAAGAAACTTATAGCTGGTACAGGTTTGAAAATACAAATGCATTAGCCTATGATAGTACCATAATTTCCAGCCATTTACCCATGGGTAATTTGCGAGTCAACGGCTGGAAATTATGGTAAGTTAAGGGCAGAAAGATGGTAAAAATCTTATTTGTGGTAATTAATAAATATATAGTACAGTGGCCCACAACTGTCATGGTGAAAAGAAATTGCTCATGGCGAAATGAAATAGCTCATGGCAAAAAGAAATTACTCACCGCAAAAAGAAATTACTCACGGCAAAAAGAAATTACTCACGGCAAAAAGAAATTACTGCAAAAAGAAATTGCTCACAGTGAAAAGAAATTTAATTCTCACGGCGAAAAGAGATTATCGCGAAAAAGAAAACTTAAAAACGCCTGGGTGGGGATTGGTTTGGCTCGGATTCCATCATGGGTTGAGGTGCAGCACGCCATCTCGGAGCGCAATGTTTTGCAGCACCTGCGCACAGTGTTTGTTAGGTTTAAATGCATTTTTGTATATTTCATTTACTCATTACGTGGTAATGGTACCTGCTAATAGTTTTTTATAGCTTAAAACGCGTTTTAGTATATTTCGTTTACTAATTGTTACGTGATAATGGTACCTGCTAATAGTTTTTTTATGACGTTTTGTTTGCTGGTCAATACATTACATAATTTAGCTCGCTCCGTAGGGACTCTTTTCGTTTTGCTATGCGTGGTAGGTTTTAGGTTTCAGGTTTATGTGAGTGTATTGACAATGAGATAGTTGCAATCGGTTACGAGCTACGGCTATGTACCAAAGGTTTTCTTGCTACCATGCATGCTGTTGTCTCCTCTAGGAGCTAAACCAAAGTAAGTTCCTGCATGTACATTTATTTTAGGTTTATTTAATCTTAGTTTCGTCCCATAGTCGTTTCTTTGTTTCTAGCATTACATTCTTGCAGCTCATTATACTTAGGTAGTTGACTCGTCCTATTTCGTTTATAGTTCAAACCACGAAGTCACAAAGCTTTACCATCATAATTTCAAACTATCGGCATAGTAGTCATGCGTTGATTGTATTTACGTCTGCTGGATTAAACTTGGTTTTTGGCATTATACATTTGTTCAAATTCAGCTCTGACTCTATTTACCTTACACCAGTCAAGTTTTCCACAAACTAAGGTAACCTCCCAAGGTTACAGTGTTAATTTACGGAATGAAGACAAGTTTTGCTCTCAATGCAGCAAAGGTATGAGATTTGAACTTACTTGCAAATACTACTTGTTTCTGGAAATCTGTTGTTGGCTTGAGTTTAGAATGCCTTCCATTCCTATATGTAAATGAGTGGCCATGGCCACTAATTTATGTATAGGAATGGACAGTGCACAAGCAAACATCCGTCTTTAAAGACCATCGTGCAAAAGTCTGTCTTTACATGCAATTAGTAAGTTCAAATCCCATACCTTTGCTGCATTGAGAGCAAAACTTGTCTTCATTCCATAAACACTACCCGCAGGTGCTGCAAAACATCGTGCTCCAAGATGGCATGCTGCACCTCAACCCATGATGCAATTCAAGCCAACTTGAACCAATCCCCACCCAGGCGTTTTTGAGTTTTCTTATTCACCATGAGTAATTTCTTTTCACCATGAGTAATTTCTTTTCACCATGAGTAATTTCTTTTTGCCGTGAGAAATTTCTTTTCGCCATGAGAAATTTCTTTTCGTTGTGAGCAATTTCTTTTCGCCGTGAGCAATTTCTTTTTGCCATGGGCAATTTCTTTTCGCCTTGAGCGATTTCTTTTCACCATGACAGTTGTACCTGCCACCGTATAATACTAGAGCACCTCCCCCATCCATTTGGTTGGGACCAACACTATACCTTCTGAATCCGAGCTGGTTGGGTCAACTGCAGAATCCTCGCAATCCATGCTCTCTTCTGAGGAAACACCATCAGTGCCCTGACAGAGAGAAAAACAGTAGTTATTACAAATAGTGCCTTAATTAACATCATCTTGACATAACATTTTAATTAATTAAATCAGTATGTATTATGATGGCACTATATACACTCCATACTTTAAGTCCCTATTAAGATGCTTAACAGTTGATAAATAATCATTATCACCATTAGTACAATAATATTTCCACAGAATGAAAATGCAAAAATTGCAAGTTAACACATCCCTTAACAGAATTAGCTTAGCACTTCTTTTAAATCATACTGCTGCTTAAACTCGAAGGTGTGCTATAAAAGGAGAGGTCGATCCCTTTAAGGTGCCTGGTAGACAAACAAAAGGAGCTAATGAGATGTTTACTTCCACCAGCATAGTGCCAATGATGTAACGTGCAAATCACCTACTTCGATTAATCAAGAGCTTCCTCATGTGGGATATAATTTCCTTCATATCGTCGTAGTGAGTAGTAGCTCACAACAAAACCCTAAAGAAGACATGACAAAGTCAGCAAAGTCAACTTCTTCAAATGACTGAATAAGCTGACTACCATAACTTAAAGACATCGACACAAAAAGGACATTTATGCTCTGGAGAGAGTTCAGATCCAGGTGTGCCCTTGGCAAAAATGGCAAAGATCTGTCTTATCAGGAAAGATTGGATATTCTACGATGGCCTACCCTAGAGAAGGCTCTTCTCTAATACCCCATTCACACCAAAGCCTAAACATGCTTCAAAGCTGTTTTGTTAAACAGGGTTTAACACAACAGCTCCATAGAAGCTGCTCAAATCAATATTTGGTTGACTTCAAATGGGGCACATTGAAAATACAATTTAGCAATTGCTTGAATCTTGTGGAAAATTTAGTCTTTCAGTTCTCTACTTCTGATTTTTATTCAGTTAAACCTGGTTTAACTAAACAAGTTTTCTGGTGTGAATGGGGTATAAGGCTCAATTTTCCCTTGGGAATTACTTTTTTAGTTTTTGCTTGGAGAGGGTGCGAACTTCTCGAAAACGATCGAGAGGGCAAACGAGTGAAAAACAAACAATATTCATTGAGAAATGTTTCAGATCGATAGTTCCCTACTATATCTGCATGCGAAGCTACATCTTCATATCCCCAATCTATACTAATCAAAACTAAAAAATTATTAAAAAATTGGTTTGCGGGTGCATTGAAGTACTCATTCATCAACTTGTTAGGGTTCAACCTAAAGTGTTCTCCGAACTCTATCACCACATGGGCAAAGATTTTGTAGTCGGAAAAAAGAGCAAACATGTAGTAACTGCTCCTTACCAGTGTTGGTTTCTGCATTAGCCATTTCAGCTAATAAGGCTTGGACCTTAATTGACAAGTTCCGATCTTCGCGACATCACTTCTCAGAGATCTCCAGATTCGAAACAACTCTTCTTACTAAACCCAGTTTTATTTATTCTACCAGACGATCACTTTCAAGGATGGCAATTGGTTGATATTTTTGATATTCTGTTGTGATTGGCCGAGCGTACTGCTTTTGTCTAGGTCTGGATCTAAGTACTTAGACCCTTCCAAGTAAGTTGCTCTTTTTCTCCTTTAATATTCCTTCCTTTCTGAAATGTGTCCATTTGACAAACTGGATTCTTAATACAAGATTATGGTTAAGTTGCACGAATCCTTTCTTTATTGAAGTTAAAAGAGACTTGGAACGCCTCTGCTCATAACACATCTCTGAATGACTCTCTAAATACTTTGTGGTTCTCTCTGAAGTTTCTACGTCATAGATTGGTCACGTGGTCTGAGGTATACAACAGTAGTGGTTTAGCTGCGAAGCCCAGACAATGGTTCACGTTCGTTGCGTCTGTAATTTACGGTGGCCCATAGGGGACATGACACATTTTTTTTATCGCGCGATAAATGATAGATTATCGCGCGATAAATGGAAATTATCGCGCGATAATTTTTATTATTATCGCGCAATAGTATTTATTATTATCGCGCGATAATATTTACTATCGCGCGATAATTTATCATTTATCACGTGATAAATGGAAACTTGTCAGGTCACGTAATCGGCTGTCATGCATGTTGTTTCCGTGGACGACAATGACTGCCACAGTTGAGGAGCTATGTTTTGAGGTCGATAGTTCGTTTTATTCATGTAAAAAGATCATTTAGCAGTACGTTGCAATACTACGACACATAGCTCTTTGAATCAGTATAGTAAACCTTGATTTTGCGAAGTCCGAGCCCGTGGAAATTTTGTATTATTTATTTATATTTTGTGATAACTTTTTGATGATTGCATGACTTACACTGTCACGGTTGTGTTACACTAAAACCTTGAAATAAACTTTCATCAGTTTGCTCATCTTCCAGTCTATACTATATGCCCTCTAAATTTC